CGGTTAAGGTTATAATAATAGAAATTAAGTTAGATCAATCCTCGTGCGAATGATACTCGAAATTTTACAATTTTCACTTTATTACTTGTCAACGAACCGTACACTTGCGGTGATTTAAATTCGAAACATATTTTCGTGAACATTCGCTCGTTGAAAAAATGAGTATTTTGGGTTCAAAATCCACTTCAGAGAACCCCCCCCCCCCATCCCCTCTTTAAAGAAAAGGCATTCACCCATCATGAGTTCCATCAATGATGATTTTCGCTCAAGAAGAGCAAGAGAGGTCTCTGAAAAAGAGCTCCTCCGAACTAATGTCAATCACTGCTGACCTTACCACCAACACCATCGAGGTGGTAGGGTGACGACTTGTCTCATGAGACAAAAGTGGCTGCCAACATGAGGGACATGTCACAACAAAATACAGTTGTGTAGCATTTCCTCAATCAAATGAATTAACAAGCGAGCCATCAAATGCCCCAAAGTGCACCTTAACCAGACCTCATACAATAATAGTATAAGGAAGAAATACACAGCAAAAGGGCTTGTCCTCATTGTACAAAAATTATTTTAGCTATGCAAAAAGGAAAGTAGAGGTGGATGTATCCATAAATTATACATCCAATCGACCTGCAAAAAACCCGTTCCACAGGAAGGATAATTTTCCTTCAAAATATGAGTAAAGCATAGATCTCAGAGGTCTACCATGTCATTGACAGGATTAGTACAAATATGTCTAGAAATAGGTCCCATCAACCACGTTTCGTAGCAAGACCCCATGAGCACATGCGAAGTCACATGCCTTAAGGTGTCCCACCACCTAGAAGAGGCCATGAGGAACCAAGCAAGACCCTTTCAACCGTCCTGATATCAAGCTGAAGAAGAAAATTTATATGGGCCATATAGGTCCTATGAAGCGGATGTCTAGTTGACTATTCGATTCCACATATATTTTTCCTCATGAACTCTATGAATACATTCATTTTTTGTATTCATTGCAAGAATTTTTGAGACCATTAAACTGAGATATTCATGAGCAAAATCACATTGATCTTACATCTTATTTATCATCAAATCATTTATTGTGAAAATATTTAATTAAGAAAATCAAATCCTTTATTCATCTTTATCATCAAAGTTTTCTCAACACTTGATCTTTCATTCATTGCTATTTATTGAAGTGTTAGCCTATATCTATCTCTCTTAGTACCTAATTTGTCTATATCAATTATTGAAAGAGAAGTTTCAAATTGTAAAATTATTTTTTTAACTTGTGGGTCATATTTAGATCTCGAAAAGCTCAATATTGTATAAAGATCGGTGCTCCATGTGTGTAAGTCACTGGAAGTTTTATAAGGTTTTGGATTGCGTCATAATTCAATCAAATATAATGAAAAGGCCTTGCTCGCGGTAATGGAGGACGTAGATCATTGATTTAGATCAAACCTCCACAATTACATCATTTTCATATTCTCTTCCCTTGTATTTATAGCTTTCATAATTGTATTCTTTGTTTGATTGATATACTCATTCCAAAATTATTTTAAAACTTTGTAGTAATTGATAAGTGTATTTTTGCACACTTATTTATTACCTAAATATACTTACTATTGATAAAAATGATCGAATTTCTACTCAAAATTATGTAATTATTGCTTTTGTAGGTAAAAATCATCCAAAAAATAGAACAAAGCAAAGAGCAGAAAATGACCAAATTTGTGCCAAATTGTGAACGTGGGGACCAAAATGAACAAGTCCAGAAAGTTGAAGGACCTTTGATGCAATTTATGCAAGGCGTAAATGAAAGGAAAGTCAAAATATGAGGAACAAATTATAAAAGATAAGTTGAGGGACCTATCATGCAATTATCTAGGGGACTTGGCTGCAAAATTAAAACCAAATTAATTTTTTTGGTAGAGAATTGGCGTCTAGGCACTTGGCTTAAAATTCTAGGGACGATCTTTGCCTTTACTTTTTAAAATCAGGGGCTTGAACTGCAATTATGGGATAGGGCTTTAAAACCTTTAAAATGGAACAGATGGGCAGCTTCTAAGGGTTTTTTTAATTCCTTTCTTTTCTTTTTTGTTTTCTTTTCGTTTCTTTTTTCTTTTGATTTACTTGTTATTTTGGAGGCAAAATCAAAAGCACAAGTAGAATACATCTAAGCCCTAAGGATTTGAAGAAATATTTGGAGAAGTCAAAGCCAATCTTCAAAAAGGGATTTTATCTATAACTTTGTATTTTATCAATTATTTTGCCATATTTGTAATGTATTATATAAAATATTCTTCTTTTTATTATTTATATAGCATGGGCGAAGTATTTTTGTTGGAATTTATGGTTGAAGTTAACCTAACTTTAATTAATTTTAATATTTGTCTTTCAATGTTAAAATGCGTATTTTCATGTGTATTTATTATTGTGTTGAATGTCTTTCATTTATTTGGCCATTAAATGATTGAGTTTAGTGATTTGTATATCGTTCGAGTGAAGATTGTACATTTTAAATCAAATAGTAAATACCATAAGTTTGTGTAGGGGATTGAGATATACCCCTAATTCTAGGTGACCAATTGAGCTATTCTCACAAACATTTAATGTTGTTATTTGGTTTTAATGGACATAGAGATATAGTAAGTTAACCAATCAATTATGGTTAATTTCGCTCAAGATAGGTGATTAACTAGAATTGAAAAATCGAGTCTAACATAGTAAATAAGTAATTTATTAATTGGCTTGCAGAAAAATTAATTAGTCGACAGTTAAGTGAAACCATGAATCCCAACTACGTATTTCCTCCAAAATTTCCAAGTGTTTATGTTTTCTTATTTTGTAGATTTTTAGTTAATTTTCTTTATTTTCTATAATCAAATTTTATTGTGTGTTTGTTTTTAGTGGAAATTTGAAAAAATGACCACTTTTATATGGTCATTTGCAAAAATGTCCAAAAAATTACCAATGTCCATTTTACAATTATTTAGACTAAAATGCCCCTTTTAACACTTTTTAATTCCATACTAAGTACCATGTCAATTCATATCACTTTTCCCAATTGACCCACTAAAATCTACCCAAACCCAAGTGATCCGACCCAACTACATGAAACAAAATCAAATCTAATACTTCTTGACTTGAAGGGTTTTGAGGACGTACGCCTCCGCTTGACCGAGAACTGTCGCTTCCTCCTCCTCATCCGTTCTCTATCTGTGAGAATTTTACAGATTTTTGCATTCAGTTTTGTGCCATTTGTTTCATTTTCTGTTAACACCTCTAATTTTTCAGGCTTCTCGTTTAATGCTAATTCAACTTTATACATATTAATTCTTCAGATCTGCAAAGATCCCACTGCAAATTTCTGCTCAAGAACACAAATGGTACCACCTTTTTTTGATTTTTTTTTCTCTCTATAAACAAGAATTCTAGAAACCCAGTTCACTCTTTACAATCTTGAAACGAAAATGGATCTAAATCCGAACAATTTCCCAATTCTCTCCTATGTTATGGCCAAGTTTCCGAGCTTTAAATGCACTTTCGCTGCCGCTGCGGATTTCGACGTTGAAAACTCGCCGCTGTCGAAGAACGCTCCAAGACGAAGAACCTTATTTCGAGCTTATTGAGAAGATGCCTCACCTCACTAACCCAAAGCTCATCTCTGCCATGCGTTTGGCCGTTGCTGACGTTGCTCAAACCCGATATGTGCTCCATAGGGTGTGTGCCCGGATCATGAGGCTGTAGATGTTGTACACTTGAAATTATCATAAATCGAGGCCGATTTGTCGAAAGGTTTGGAAGAGATAGCACTTGCTTCTCAGCTGGCAGATTCTAACTAGCTCGATTGGCAGGCCCACCAAGTAAAAAAGGAGGAGGAGTGTAGAAAGGCTGTCGAAAGGGAGAAGGAGATTTATAAAGTGGTGATCTATTTGGTTGAGATGCACGAGGGGTATGAGAAGATGTTAAGTGAGGCGGAGATTAGATTGGAGAGGATTTATGAGGCTGCAGTGGAGGGGTATGAGAAGATGTTAAGTGAGGCGGAGATTAGATTGGAGAGGATTTATGAAGCTGCGGTGGAGGGAAAAGACGAGGCAGAAGTGTCATTTAAAGAAAAGGAAAATGGCCCTCATGAGGGGGCGGAGGAAATGAATGAAGAAGTGGTGAGGATTCTGAGGGATGCAGAGTCAGGGAAGGCGATTGAGAGAATGGATTTAGCGGGAAGAAGATTGAGGTTGTTGCCCGAGGAGTTTGGAAGGTTTAAGTCATTGGTTACGCTTAATTTGTCAAACAGTCTACTTGAGGTTAGAGTTTGCATATGAATGTTAAAATAATGCATTTGAATTGTGTGATTTTGATTGTATTTGGATGCTTTTTTTGTTAATGCTATGGTCTTTGGATGTGGTTATCACTCGTGTAAGTTTATAGTTTACAATTGTATCTTTGATCAATTGAGCTTGTTTGAAGAGATGCTTGAGTAGATTGTTTGCCAGATTTATTTATAATTAATGCATACGTCTAAGAATGTTGTTCTTGGTGTTATAAAAGAAAGGAGGAATAGGTTGTTCTAGTTGTTGGTATTGAGCTCGAAATTATGTTTGGAAATAAGAAACAATTATATTATCTGCTTACCAATTCTTGAAAGTCATGTACAGTAACATCATATTGTTGAATTTTGTGTTATTTAATGTTTAGGTGATTGGATGATGGCATCTTATATCATCTAATGTGGTACCACTTTGATGCTGCTTTACTTGTATGTGTATGTGAGTGATAGAATGGGTTACATAACTTGATGATTAAATGAGTTTCTACTTATTCTGTTGAGTAATGTTGTGCTAGGTCTTGATAAAAGTAGAAAGTAGTTGAATATTGTATCAAAACTTGCAAATGGATCTTTAATTTGTCTTTTTTATCTAAAGGAAAATATTCAGATGTGCACTTTTTCATGCGGAAAGAAAGAAAATAGTACTCTCTCTTGGTTCAAACTTCAAAGGGCATAATTGAGAAAAACTTGATGTCACATGGAGAAAGCTGACTATGAAAGAAAGGTAATTAAACTAGTGTGCAGGAGACCAACACTTTGTTATAAAATAAATGTAATTATTTGCCTATTTATGTTTTGTTCTTTCTTTTTAATGTTTATCGATACATTTGCTATTCACCCACAGTTTTCTAAAGTCTAGGAGTCTTGTGTGGCTGCAATTCGATATAGTTTTCTTTCGAAAGCTCTCTATTCTTGCAAAAATGGCCAAATTCAGTTCTTGACCGTTTACGTTGTGTAGGAAGGCGACCTGATGCTCGACATATATTTGGGGGTAACACTTCGATGGAATGAATGGCATGAGGAACAACACAATCTGTCAATTTTCAATTTCTCGAATAATGTGTGTACAAGCTCTTCATATCTAATATCACGTTGAATAACAATTGATGTTGTTCGGTCTCCTAACCACTTCCACGTGTCGTCCATGTTGACGAATGTGCCACCGTACGATACAATGAATCTCATAACATCTCCCATATCTACATGTCATAAACAAAAAAATTATCAGCTAATAACATCTCCCTAGCCACATGCAATACGTGAAATGTTGTACCCAAAATGTTCCCTAAGTTTGTTTACTGTTCAATGTTATTCTCGACATTTGAAAATTTCAAAATTACATTTAAACTATCATTCTCCACATTTATAAAATGTCGAGAATGACATGACGGGATTCACTTCAACATATGCATTTATACTTCTTTGTTTCTTCAATTTTCCTACAATAATTGATTAATATTTAATTAAACATGTAAGCGAATGAACTCACCTTGGTAATGGCTACAAGTATGGTGGCTTCTCATGGAAGCTACTTGCTTTTCTTGAAATATGTGTCAAATTAGGGAAAAAAATACAAATAGAGTAATCATTTCATTAAGGATAAAATAGACCATTTGTGTTCAAGTTTGGCCATTTTTGCAAGAATTATAAGAATTGGACAGTTTTCAATTCACACCCATAAAATTGGCCATTTTTTGAAAATATCCCTTGTTTTTATTGTTAAAATTAAATTGACTAAAGTTGTGTAATCGAAAGTAAACATTCATTGAGGGATCAACAACCCGACTCGAAAAGTCCACTGTATTACTTGAACACGACCCGTGCACTTACGGTTTGTAATTTTAGCAAACAAGTTTTTAACGTCGTTGTCGGAGAATGTTTTTACTTTGATTACCACTTTAATTAATTTTATTTTTAACAATTTTTTTGTTCACTTGTTTGTTTTTATTTTTGTATATTTGGATAACCCCAGTATTTTTAATCTATCTTATATTGGTATTCTCTCCTTATACTTTTCAGTTATAGTTGCATTATTCTAATCTTGGTAAAGTAATAAAGTATTTGCAATATCTAATCTCTACATTAACTGTGGAAATATGCTTCAAGGTCTAAGATGTGAAATTTGTTAACCGATGCATTGTATATGGCAATGCTTGTATTCGTTCACCGATGCCTCAATATCGAAACATCTTTGGTTTAGACAATATTTGAAATGTCGAAAAAAAGCTCTAGACAATTTCAATAATAGTTACATGCTCACAAGAGATTATGTACCTGATGATTAGGATGAGGACATTAAATTTTCAAGAGATGGTCATCCATTTTTAAATGAGAATATACTTATAAAATATATAAACTTGCCAAGTTGGATGTAGATGACATGCTTGTGGAATATTACGAATATTGGGATGGATTTCAAAAGTTGGGGTATAATCCACTCGATGGAGTTAATAGGAAAGGCTTGACATTGCTTGTGGAGTTTGATTGCCGACCAATCATTCAACCCCGATGAGAGTTCAACCATTGAAGATGAGCCTAAAATGAGTGAAAATTTAATCACAATGGAGCTAAACAAGGATGTGGCAATCAATATGGAGAAAATCAGCTTACGTTCTTCCAACTTAGTTGATTGCCAAGATATTGATTTTGTGATTAATCCCGATGAGGAAGTGAAAATTTTCATAGTTGATTTTGAATTGGAAGGAATAGGCAAGTACTATTATATGGAAAGGAGCAATGTTGAGGTTTGGAGACAAAATGAAGAGTGGATCAAAGCCAAACGAAGGAAAATGGGCAAGGCATCCAAAGACTCCTTTATGTGCTCGTGATTTAATTCCTTAAGTCGAGCTAAAGACAATAAATAAGTGCTTGTTGGGAGGCAACTCAATTTTCTAGCTTTTTATTTACTTTTATGTACTTTCATATTTTAATTTGATTAGCTACTATTATTTTTGCAAGTAATTTTTAAAGTCCTGGATATACATGGTTCCTAACAAGTTTGGAGGCAAATTGGTGTACAAGAAAGTCACTTGCCCAAGTACATCAAAAGCATCACAATTCTAATTTATGCATTGGTACCTCTTCACGAATATACAACCGGGGAAGTTTCGTTATCCCCTATTCTCTTTTATCTTGTTCTTTACACATTGAGGACAACGTGTGATTTAAGATTTGGGTGATTGTGCTTAAATTGGTGATATTATATTGACATGTTAGATAACCTTGCCGGCTTAGGATGTTTTGATATTTAAAATTGTTGTTGATTCATGAGCTATGATCAAATATGCTATTTGTGCCTTCTTTTTTTTTTTTTTTAAAAACTTTGCTTATCCATGTCGGATCCTTACTTTGAGCGCAATAGTCATGATTAATTGTTATCTAGATCTGAAAGTTTTTTTTATTAATGGAGAGGTTTTTGAATTTATAAGTTAGGTAATGACCATATGTTATGGATCTAAACCACATTTATTTTGTCATGCTAAAAAGGGAAATTGCACTTGTTGATTCTTGCCTCACTCCGTAAAGTAAATATATATTTAAGGAGTGTGAATCTCACGAATGAAAAAAGAAATATTTGACCACTAAGGGTCAGGTTGGAGCTAATTTGAAAATTTTTCCATCTTGACAACTTTTCCTAATTTCGATGATAATCTAAAGTGACTATACACACATATACACCGATTGAACATTGGATAAGTTTAAGTTGTTTTAGTGG